TTGGTCGAGAGCGGGGACACCCGGCGCTCCATCACGGCTACGCGTTACAATGAATGACGTTGGTACAACATAATGTATTTCTGTTACCCCCTCCCCAATCCTTCGTTATGTCTTGTGTCCTCTCACCGTTTGTGGTAGTTAGTGTTGTCTGGTGGTGGTGATAGTTGTGCGGATACAGATCTGTGATGCTCTTACCTTTTCTGTGGTGACTGGAAAATCATATCTCCGCATATAAACATGTCCCCCCCCTCCCACCTCCCCCTACGTCGATCTTCGTCTCTCCTCCATGTTGTACATTGTTGATTATGCGCATGGATTTAAACCTGTGATTATGAGATTTTTTAGATGAAACCCACAATAACTGATGGTCTTTTTAACAGCGTCTAACTGCTGCGTCAGGACTTGTTTTCCTAATGTGATTCACTGGAGCCACATCCACAATATGGCAGCTAATAGCTGAGCAGTGGCCTCTCCTCAGAAGTAAAAAAGGATATTTGTGTAGCAAATAGCTATGCTAGTGAGAGGTTTGTGATGCTGATCTCAGACTCTGGAGGACCGTTTGTAATCTCAGCTGAACAGTAACCAATTGAAAGCAGGGCTAGGCCTAATAAAGGAGGGCCTCCGTCACTCCAGGTTTCCCCCATTTTAGATGCAGCTAAACTCAGCTCCCATTTCACAGCCCACTATATTCACTTTTCTGCCATTTGCGACATCTCAATGTGGTGACTATATCTCAAGCTGAAATGTTATCACACCTGGCAACTAAATAGTTACTAATAAAAAAATGAACGAGTTAATGTGCATACATCTGACAGCTGAAATGTCTCCCAAGTGAAAAGAGATGTCAGGTGCAGATAAAAAAAAAATCCATATCCCCTTTCTCTTATGCTTTAGTATAATCGAATAAAGGCTTGGAGGCAGGTGTCATGAATGTTGAATGAGTGTCAGAAATAGATATGCTAAAAGCCTGTCCCAGAGCCGGCCATGGCAGTCCTATTAATAGGGATGGTAGGATGAGCAGGTTTTTGAAGATATACTGTGTGTGTGCTCTCTCACACTCTGGGTTAAGTGCTGTGTGAGTCTTGTTAAGTGGTAGATGCTTTTCTGTATGTAGGTAATGTTTTATGAACACAGGCACATCTATCACATGCAGTGGCATGTGGTCTGGTGTTTTCATCACTGAGGCTAAACATTCTATAGCAGGGACCCCCACAGGACTATAAACAGAGCTTCTTAGTATTGTACACTGCGGTGGTTGGGGCTCAGTCGGCTAGCAGCTGCAGATGTGTGCTCACATGTGAGCCTGTTATGTTGCCTGTGTGTAAGAGATAGTCTGGGTGGCTGTTATCTGTAGATCCACTTTGATTCTGTGGCGTGCACACGTCCCCGAGTGTTCACACATTTTGTAATCCCCCCCAGGGCCAGGTGCCTTCTAATAGAGTTCTGTTAAATGCTGTGCAGCCAGAAGTGTCAATGTGCGGATGGTGTGTGTGTATGAGGGAGAACAACAGCGTGCGAGAGGATGTGTGTGTATTTCTCACTGGTTTTTAGGCAGAGCATCTTTGATTGGCTCCCAGACTCGGGGTATAAGTGTATTACATAACAGGGTTGGCAGACACAGGGAGGACGGACTGCGAGACTCGCTCGGTGCGTCAGAAAAAGAGAAGCCTCTTTCTGGAATACAGCACCTTGTTACTCGATATCGCAGGCTCAGCTCATGCAGAGGACTATCACCTCGGCCACTTCTGACAGAGATTAATCTATCATGATTGCATGAACCGGACTTCTCCATGCATACACTCTCTGAACAGTTACATGCCACAAACATGGTAAGGCTAAAAGGCTTGTCTGTGTGTGCGTTTGTGTGTGTGTGCTTGCTCAGGAATGCTGTAGGTGCTTTGGTGCAGATGTGCTTTAGCTGGAGATAGAGGAGGATGTTGGAATGCAGTGGAGCTGCCAGTGCAGTGAATGCTGATGTGTTGTGCTGCAAAGATGATAAAAGGGAGTGAATCGGCTCTCTGTCATTTTATATTTCTTAGCCATGTCTGCGATTGAATGTGAAACCCAGGGCACTGTCTATATGTCCACATGCAGGGAAAGATTTCTCTGCATTCATTTGCATTGACCCAAATACAGGTTTTGCGGTTAAAGGCGACCACTTCGCCCTGTGATCTTTGATGTTGTAACTGCAGTGTAACCAAAATGATGACACGGGGTTGATACAGCCGGTTGGCACTCAGGTGATGATGAGTATTTTGGTAAGACTTGCCTGTGTTTACTTTGTTTGCCTTTTGATCAAGCTAGGTGCGAGGGTAAGCCGAGGGAGGACTTGGGAAGATTGATTATGTAATGTTTTTAATTTATTCAGCATGTAGAAGGGGGTAAAAAGGAATGCACTGTATAGGAGAGGGCAGTGCCGATCTCATCAGAGAGATGGAGGGATGAGGACGAAGGAGGAAAGTGAGCAGGGTGGAACATTGGCTGTGAATGGATCTCTTTCCTGTCTCTCTCCCTTGCTCTTTCTGTCTGTTGCCTATATTACAGCAGATTGATGGGGACTGGAGAGATTGTGCTTGGAGTGAATGGTGCTGAAAATGGAGTGGATGCTGGAGGGTGTGTGTGTGAGTTGGGGGGGGGGGGGGTGGCTGGATTAGGGAGAGCAGACATTACTGTGAAGAAGCGAGAAGCAAGACTGACCTCAGTGGAGAGGCTCATCTGTTCTGAGGGTGCTGTGGCAGGCCGAGGTCCGGATGTCAAATAGTAACGCTCATGGAGAACTGATGTGGCTATTCCACTGATTTTCTTTTGGCTGCAAGTTTGTGTTATAAATTAATGTTATTCTTCTTCCTGAATGAACAAATGATTTTCACATCTTTTTCAGTAGTATTCATTGTTGCTGTTTCCATGGCAGCGTGACACATGTTCCTGCATTAATCCTCCCCTCTTCCTGTAGTGGAGAGCTTTGAGATACATGCTCGAGCTCTTGTTACGCCAGTTCCCAGGCCCATGTGAAAACTGATTGAAGAAACCTACTCAGCGATGTCTTTGATCGTAAACCTGCATGCTGAGGGCCTGCATCATGCACCTCTGCATTTCTCACTGTCATGGAAATAATGTTAGTGCATTCTCTAATGTGATTGGTTCCTCTTTTTCTCAGATCTAATAACAGAGGGCTTTTGCTGCTTCTTCAGCGGTCACTCTCTGTGCGTGTCTGCTCACACATGCACCTAAATTTGGAAATATTCCAGTGCCTCCTGAAGTGTCCTTGCCTCATCCCATCATCTTGTCAATACCAGTGAAGCATCCTCATCTGTCGCCATGACGACGGCTGTTTTTTTTCCATTCCAGGCAAGGGCGTCCCCCCCCCCTGTGCTCACTCCTCTGCCCAGATTGGCTTATATCCCCCGTAGCTGTCTCAGTCAGCCATCGGGGAGGTAGGCTTGTCTACAGGTTGAAGGGGCAACATAGCTGCTGAGTCTGAGAGCTTACATCCTCATGGGGGTTCGGTTGAATGCAAACAACACTACACACACACACACACACACACACACACACACACACACACACACACACACACACACACACACACACACACACAGCTGCTGTTTCTTCAAACACACTGCATCAGCATTAGGTGGGACCAGAGTGATGAGGTGCATTTTAAATGGTTGAAGGGATTTGATTTTATGAAAGGCAATGCAGTCTTAAGAGACTATGTCAACAACTAGAACTAGCTTACTTTAGAAAACAACAGTAGCTCAGTGTTATTGAGCAAAAGCCTTAATGAAAGCCAAGAACTAATTTAATGTCCATCCATGTGACGTCCCAGTCTCCGGGCCTTTGATAACTCCTTACCTTGAGCCTAAGCAGCTCCTGTCAGGCTCGGTTAGTGCTGGCTGCGCTGCCCGCAGCCCCGGGGACTGAATGCATGGTTAGCTTCTGACTGGGGACTGCTGATGAGCACTACCTTGGAGGGAGAGCAATCGTAACAAACATTTGGAGCTGTGCCATCCATAGATGCATACAGGGGGTTTAATGTGTCAGGAGTTAAAAGTGTGGCTGCAGGTGTGAGTGCTTCTTTGCGCACGTCTCAGCACAACAAACCTAACTGCCCCATGTGATGGATGGCGTAGATTTTTTTTGGTAGATGGATGATGTCAGACCCAGGTCCCTCGCAGGAACACTGTCCGCTGTCTCGTCCTTTAATGAGAACAACCTTTAGCCTCTCCAGATCCTTTAAAGAATACTGATTATCCGACAGGCCTCCATGCCCCTTCAGGTGATGCCAAACGCAAGCACTTTAGGTATCCCTTTCTTTATGGTAATGCATACAATGGAATATATCTATTTTTAGCGTAGCATAATGTCGACATAATTTATTCATGATGCTCAAATCAATCGAGAATGTTTGATGAGTCATGCTTCCTTGCTCTGTCAAAGACTGTGCTGCAGATTAAATAACAAGCTCTGGTGACAGCTCGAAGGAAAGGAGATTATCCCTTCACATTTGTTTGCTCCTCAGCATTTATATTACATTAACACATGTAATTATTCTAATGTCATAATGGGCCAATTATGGTCCCTGTGTGCACACTGGTGCTGTGTGTATGAATGCTGTGTTGTTTTTCCACTAATAGCTCTGCCTTTTTTGTGTTGTTCAATTTTTGTTGTGCGGTGCTGTGTTCTGTGTCAGCTATTGTGTTGCTCTGTTTGCACTCCCTAAGCTGCTGGTAGGCCCTGGCTTTGAGGGTGTGTATTTGCATCTATTAGTAATCTGAGTGGGTTTAGCAACACGGATTCATACAAATTAAGGCCTAAATAAGGATGAGAACTGAATTTGCAGTGCCTTTCAAAGGTTATTTGAATGCTGTCTTACGTCAGGTGGATCCACAGTTGTTGGTCAGTGATTGCTGTTTTTGTCGTGTCTCCACATCAAAAGCTGCATTTACTGAAAACAAAATAGTAAGATTCCGCTTGTCTTTCCCTCTCGTTTCCCCCAGTTGATAAGTGGAGGTTCAATCGTCAACGCTGAGGCGGTATGGGACCATGTGACCATGGCCGACCGGGAGTTGGCGTTTAAGGCCGGCGACGTCATCAAGGTGCTGGACGCCTCCAACAAAGACTGGTGGTGGGGCCAGATTGATGAGGAAGAAGGATGGTTCCCTGCCAGCTTTGTACGGGTGAGTTAGCTGCTGCCATGGCTGGCCAGCGACCATAGACACAACACAACACCCACGCACACAGAAATGGAGGCACATGAACATATGCACACAAGCTGCCGAATACACACAGGAAAGTGCACAAGAAATTCTGTCACATACGCAAAAAGCACACAAACAAAAACACACTCTTTAATATGCCTGCTCCGCTCACAGATACTCTGTTGAATAAGGCTGTGTTTTAATAATACATAACATTGAGGAGATGAGACAACAGCTAGCTAAGTGCCTTTATCAGGTGTTCAGGGACAATGAGACAGAGATGCTGATGAGCCCCTTTTTTCCAGTTTGGCATTACCTTCAACTGTTAGCCTTGAAAATCAGCATCCCTTCTTCACCTTGTGATTATATAATCTCATAAATATCTGAGCTCAACGAAGCCTACCACACAAGTCTGATTCTTTTAATTAACAAGAAGGCTGAACAAGTGAGCGAGAGTGGTTGTCGTAGGTAGATGCTTCACACAGCCAAGCACCCCCCACAGACACTCCTCATGGCCATTCCCACCTGTCCACCCTTCCATATTCACTTCTTGAGAGGGCAGGGCAGACAGGCTGACTGACTGTCGACCAAAAAGTATCTTTCTGTTCTGTCATTCTCTCTCTCCAAGGTGGAACCCCACCCTCCTCAGCCCCAAACAAAACAGGTTTTCTATATCAACCCCATAGCAACTCCACGGTTCCAAAACACCACGTCAAAGGTGCGTTTTCCCCGCTTCATCCAACCCATCCAGCCTGCCCGCCCACCCGCCCGCTCCAGTCTGTCCACACAACGTGCCCTCGACATTACCAGACATTTAACGTCACCATGACGGCATCACACCATCTTCAGCGGGGTCGATAGAGAGGAAGAACTGATGAGTCAAAAGTAAAATAATGTTAAAAGTCTCCTTAAGGCCACCACTCAAATTCTATAAACATATTTACATAGAAGTAGATGGAATTTTGGAACCATTATCCCTGTTACCATTTATCGTTATCTCGATCATAACCTTGTGAGAGAATATGTTTTCAGTACTCGATTTACTATTGACTCTGACTATTTCTCAGTCTTAATGCTGCGCTAGTAGCTCTCGTCTGCAGTCAGTGCTCTACCACCCGTCACTCTGCTTGTCTGTGGCGCTACATTCCTCATCCTGTGTTTGGCATTCTACCCGTCGGTTCTTTGATGTTCTCTTGGCAAACTGTGTGTCATCAGGTGTTGGGCTGCTGGACATCTGAAACCACACTCACCTGGCCCGTTCTATATGAACAAGAGTAGAATACACAATGTCCTGTGTGTGGATCTTTGTGTGTGTGTGTGTGTGTGTGTGTGTGTGTGTGTGTGTGTGTGTGTGTGTGTTAGTGAGAGCAGAGAAACGTGTTGTTTTGTGTGCAGATGTTTATGCATGCATGTGTGCAGGGAGGGGGCTGGACTTTTTTGAGTCAGACAGCATTGAAGTTGGGTGATGACTATCCTCTGAGTACTAGAAGGTTTTCTTCAAACTGAGTTTGGTGTGCAGAGAAACGTGTTGTTTTGTGTGCAGATGTTTATGCATGCATGTGTGCAGGGAGGGGGCTGGACTTTTTTGAGTCAGACAGCATTGAAGTTGGGTGATGACTATCCTCTGAGTACTAGAAGGTTTTCTTCAAACTCAGAGTTTAACGGTGTGCACCTGCACCTTCTGGACCAACAGGCTTACTCACTGTCCCCACTAAATTAAGCTCTGTGTGTGTCTGTGTGTGAGGTGTGTTTTTATGTATGTGGTGTAGGTGTGTGTGCAGTGTGCTCATAAGGAGTGAGCAGTGCCACTGTTGTTGTTAACATAGTGTGATATGGAAGCCAAAATGTATGTTTACTAACACTCTTTCTGTCATCAGATTTATGCACTTCAAACATGACTGAACACATGTCTTATTCAAGTGCACATGTGTGTGTCGCTCTGTCTGTGTGTGTGTGTGTATGTGTTTGTACTCAGCTGTGGTAAACCGACACTACATCAAACACCTCAAGGACATCTGTGAGGTACGTAACACGTGCGCACATCCATCAACACATACACACATACGTACACACTGCACGTTAATACAAGAAAGAAAGAGAAATGCTGATGAAATGATTCAACTGAAATGTGTCCATCAGAAGAAGAAGCAGCCCTTTTGATGCTACACAATTCTTTACACTCCCACATTCACACGTTTAAACATGGCATATTTTTACTCCTGATCTCAACACAGTCCAAAAATAATTCTCTCTTTTCTGAGATATGAAAACACAATTTGTCATCTGCACACAGTAGTGGCAGCTGTCACACTCGGACTGATTTGGTCCAGATTCAGTTTTTTTTTTTTTTTTATAGATTATGAATCATGCAGAAGTGGAAAACAAGAATTCCCACCTAATAAAAAATAAACAAAAGCCTTGTAAACGGCTGTATTCTGAGGACTGCCAGCCTTGAATAAAGACTTAAAACATGGCACGCCAAATGTGGAACCTGATTCACAAAGCTGGACACACATTTAGAAAATTGAATCTGATTTTATGGCTTTCACATTAGTTAATGCTCTTTCACCTATTAGTAACAAACACAAATGCATGCACTGTACAGATATAGTATCCTACATGGGTCAGTTTGATCTTTCTAAGGGGACCATAGTGGATCCTCTGACTCTGTTTTATTCTCCAGTCATGCTGCATGGTTCCTGTATTTATAGTATAAAACATGACATAGCAGTATTCAGTTTGATCTACTGCTATCAAGAAGGATAGACCATTACGTTAAGAAATACATCTTATTATATTTCACTGTTTGCATTCTGTGAAGCACTGTGTCGCCTATATATGTCGCGATATAAATACAGATATTATTAGAATGATGATTTTATCGGTTGGAAAATCAATACAGTGCTCATTTCTGTAGGGGAGGCAGTAGCTCAGTCTGTAGGGACTTTGGGTTGGGAACCAGAGGGTCGCTGGTTTAAGTCCCGATGCAGATCAAAATAAGAACATTGGTCTAGTAGCTGGAGAGGTGCCAGGGCATTTCCTGAGTACTGTCGAGCTGCCCTTGAGCAAGGCACCGAACCCCCAACCACTCTCACGTGTAGCAGCCTCACTCTGACATCTCTCCACTAATGTCCACAGGTCCTGTTTGTGCACGTGTGTGTTTCGGGCCTATGTGTGTGAGAAGCATGTCTCTCAATAACAGAGTGTAAACCTGGATTTCCATCAGGGGTTAATAAAGTATTTTGAATTTTAAAAAAAAATGTCATAGCTGTCACAAGATTAACGATCAGAATACCTCTGCATCAAGACTTTTCGGAAGTGGGAAATTCTCAGGTTAAATTCTTGCTTATCTCATCATCTCTCTTTCATCCTCAACACACCCTTTGCCAGTGAAGCGTTGTGTTTAAAAATAGTTGGACTAAAGTGTGAATTTCACCTTCACACCTCCATACTACCCAGCTATTGTAGTACTTCTCAACATGCCAAATACTTTTTTTTTTTTATCTCTGATCACTCGATAGCAGAAATATGCAAAGATGTCTTAAACATCACTTCAAACTTGTCTGATCTAGTTTCAAACTGCGTGTAGTAAGCAGTGAAAAGGAAAGAGTTTAATGACTTAGGACAGCTAATTAGAGGAAACATTGCAGTGCAATCCCTCCGCCTATGAAGTCAAAATGCCTCTAAGCCAATGTTTTCTTGTTGTAGTTGAATACTTGATGACTTTGGAGGCTGTGCTAGTCTCTAAGGATGCTACCATTGAAGAGGCTTCATTCCTTATATAATGTAAAAAGAAAACACAGTGCATAAAAAGTTTCAACTAAAGCAGTCGCTCATTTTAGGAAGATATTTCACACTTTTCGCAAATCAAGGATACTCTAATTTAAAACTACGCCTCCATTTTATTGATTTGCATTGAAGTTGAGCTGAAGGAACAACAAATAAAAAGGCTACGCTTGTTGTGACATTCACAAAAAACAGCAAAGTTTACTAAGAAGTGGAGTGTGAAATAGCCAAAATCGACTTATCACAGCAAATCTTTCCTCGACGTGTCAAAGCTTCAGAGCAGTTAATTAAATACAAGAATCGGACTGACAAATCGGGGCCATGTGTAAATGGATGAAAAAGGAAATAGTTTTTGAACTTAGACAATAGTCAAAGCCTCACAGTAGTTGTAACCAATTTTATTGTAGGGCTACCTGCGCCAGTGCAGGAAGCGTGTGGACATGTTCAATGACGACCAGCTGAAGGTCATCTTTGGGAACATCGAGGACATCTATCGCTTCCAGATGGGATTTGTTCGAGATCTGGAGAAGCAGTACAACACAGAGGATCCCCACCTCTCTGAGATTGGACCATGCTTTTTAGAACATGTGAGTCCTTTTTTTCTTCTTTTTTTTACACTTAAACAAACTTCTCTGTACCTCCTGGCTCTCCTCTGCCCAGCACTTAAAAGACCATTCATTTTATAATGTCCTCTAATCATGCATTCGTTCACTCCTGTGCACTGCAGCAAGATGGTTTTTGGATCTATTCTGAATACTGTAACAACCACTTGGATGCCTGTATGGAGCTGAGCAAACTGATGAGGGATGGCAGGTACCAGCACTTCTTCGAGGCCTGTCGTCTCCTCCAGCAAATGATTGACATCGCCATCGATGGCTTCTTGCTCACCCCTGTCCAGAAAATCTGCAAATATCCACTCCAGCTGGCCGAGCTTCTCAAATACACTGCACAGGAGCACAGGTACTGTACACTCTCTGCTGAGGTCACAATTAATCTGCTGCATGAGGTGCTGTTTGATGGTTGTTGTGAAAAAGAAGCCATTACTGATGCATGGTTGTTTTTAGTGTTTTGATGCAGCACGTTGTTCACTATGCTTCAGCAGCTTCCTGTGAATGTTTTAGAGGACATCATTTCATTGAGGAATCTCAGCATCGTTTATGTAACAGCATTGCAATTAATCTCCAGTGGTCACAGGATCATTGCATAGATCCGTGGCTATAAATAGATTGCAGATTAAATATGAATTTGGGCTTTTGCTGGCAGGTGTACAAGCGTTCTTCACTCACTGCCTGCACAGCACACGAGCTCAGTACACAATACAAACATTTGCAGATGATCGCCGACATCCAGATGTGCAAACTCATGTGTGGGAACCCGCAGAAAAACATAGTGTAAATGATTTAGCGTGCCTCAGCCAGCTTCAGGTCATTCACAAACCATGCGTTCGCAGCCAGAGAGGGACAGGTGCCAGCGAGGCCTGCCAGATCACAGTGTTCCACTGTTGGGAGCTGTGGAGAATCTGCCAGATATAGGCTCACTCTCTGTCACACACACACACAGCATTGTCGCACACACACGTACACACACACACACACATTATCTTTCAAAGTGAGGATTGGATCCGTAGCACATCTAAGCCAGAGGGATAAATCCAGCTCAGTTAGCATAGACGCAGGCAGAGTTAACTGCAGCTAGAGAAAGTGGCTGATTAGAATTAAATAGCAGTGTGTTTTTTTTTTTTTTGACTGGGCTCCAGCAGACTTAGTGCTGTTACTTTAAGTTTATAACCCAAGTGGTTTAATAGGCTACTCTGTATCATTCACTGCAGCAACATTACATGTCTTTAAAAAAAAAAAAGTCTTTTAAAGAGTGGCTCATCTCCAAGAGCTATAACTTTCCCTTTAACACCCGGCAGTGATTATGTGTACATTGTGTTCGCAGTGACTATCGATACGTGGCAGCAGCACTGGCAGTAATGCGGAACGTCACTCAGCAGATCAACGAGAGGAAGAGGAGGCTGGAAAACATCGACAAGATCGCCCAGTGGCAGGCCTCTGTTCTAGACTGGGAGGTTTGTGTGTGTGTGTGTGTGTGTGTGTGTGTTGATCTGTTCGGACCATCTGTTTAGCCTAGAGACGGAAAACATTTTGATTTTTACACCTTTAATCTGTCACTAAATGTAGACACTTTTTATACCACCTACTTTAGGAAAGCATCTTATTAAGTGTTTGTGCCTGTCAAATGTCCTCTAGCCTAAATGTCGGTACATTCATAAAGCCTAAACATGTTTTCCTTGCTGTCAGATGACGACACAGGAAGGACAAACATACATTTTACTCAATAAAATCAAGTATATTTAACCTTCATGCTGCTTTGTGAAAACATGGTATTTATTGTTTTCATAAGCTTTTAAAACCTGCAAAGTAATTCCTTAAACTTCTTTTTATTGTCATTATTAAGTTTTCAGACTTTCAGTTGTAGTCATACCCTGCATTAGATGATGACTGCATACTGCACTTAACATGATTGTCTTTTGATTTAAAGTAGAAGTCCAGTAATCTGATGATGTATATTACATAGTGTCTAGAGGGTTCAAAAGGACATTTAAAAAATGGCAGTCAAGGAACTAGCTTAAAGGTGACATGTCCTGAAATTTGGTAAAAGTTCTTAAAGAAGACATATTATATCCCCTTCTCCACCTTTTCAAACAGTCCCCCTGTGGTCTAAATGAAACATCTGTGCTGTGCTTTGGTCAAAATATAACATGAATCAAGCACCAGAGGAGGTTTGTGACCCTGTATAAACCAGCTCTCTCAGACCGCTCCGTTTTGGTGTGTGTGTCTCTTTAAATGTAATGACCCCACCCTGAGCTTTCCTGGTAGACATCACTCCTCTGTACCGTGAATAAAAATGGCAGACCTGCGCAAAAGTCTTGCTCTAGGCTGGGGGTGGAGTTCATGGGTGGAGATACCAGGGGAGGGGAGGTGATTTTTTTTACCAGAATCCCACTGTGACATCACAAGGAGAGCAAATTTGAAACGGACCCATTTTTCTCTGTGTTGTAAGACTTATGCAGACCACAAACAAAGGACTGGATGGGTTTATTTCACATTTTGTGGGTCGGTAGACACTCAGGTTACCCAAATATATATTCAGAAACACTGTACAAGTGATTTTACATAATATGTCCCCGTTAAATCAGGAAATCCTACAGAAATTAAAATTCAACTAAATAGCATTTATTGATTGCATTTTCCTGATATGTAAACAGCCATATGTCCGAGTCGGCTTTATGTTACCAGATGATGACATCACGATGACATCATCACCTCCATTTCCCAGACCTCGCAAAGCTACTGTGGCTGGGAAGTGCAAAACAAAATTCAAAAGTCTGAAACACTTTCACAAAGCTTGAGACAAATTTACATTTTGGAAAACATGTTAACATTCTATACAACAAAAACACTTTGACAAAGGACAAAACAAATGTACATTTTATTAAACAAATTTACAAGATGTGTAACATTTTTACAAGTGCTGAGACAGATTTTCAAGTGGCACAACACTTTTACCAGTCCTTAAAAAAATTACAAACGACAGAATCTTGATGGAAAGGGAATTTACCAGAGGCAGGAAGTGACCTGGAAGTGATTGAGAGAGCGGTCATTTAGTTTGTTTTGGCCATAGAGAGAGAGAGAGAGAGAGAGAGAGAGAGAGAGAGAGAGAGAGAGAGAGATATACATGAAGTTTAATTTAGCTATGGCCACGTAAAGATTCTGTGGTTTGTAAATTTGTTTGTTTGCCACAGAAGTCCGTAAAACTCTTTCTAACTAACTACTAACCAGAATGTGCAAACTGACTTCACCACATGACATGTGCAGAATCAGTTATTTTAGGCTTTTATCTTTTTGCAGCTGAAACCTGATTTTTATCCATGAGACTGTTCTATATTTATATATTGCATTTCTGTATTGTGTGTGTGTGTGTGTGTGTGTGTCCAGGGAGATGATATCTTGGACAGGAGCTCGGAACTCATCTACACTGGGGAGTTGTCATGGATCTATCAGCCGTATGGACGCAGCCAGCAGCGGGTCTTCTTCCTCTTTGATCACCAGCTGGTCCTCTGTAAGAAGGTAGGCAATCTCCCCCCCCCTCTCTCTCTCTCTTTGTTCCCCTTTTTTCCCTCTTTTTTAAGAGACATCGTTGGCTGAAAAACAAGCTGATAAGCTGAAACACATCCTCAGACTGTGTTCTTAAGAGTTGTGTATCACATGGCTGGTGACTGAGGTGCTTGAAGACAATGTGACTTCATCAACCTTCCTTGTGAGCTGCAAAGGGATTATATAATAGTGTCTGAGACGCACCAGTCCTCAGTGAAGATGCGCTCAAATCTTCTGTACCTTTTACAAAATGGAGCTTTGGTACTTTGGGCTCTAATGCACCAGGGCTGTGCTCTCCTGTCAGATGGATGTTCACGCTTGGCTAGACTTTATCACACATGCACACAGGGACACCGCCACCAATGCAGACAGACACACACAAACACAAACACACACACACGCAGGGCTGAATAACTGCGTCATCCCACGCATACATGTGTACAAACAGAGCAACAATGATTTAATCCATGAAACAGAAAAACATGAAGAAAGCGTTATAGATTGAGTCATTTTCTGCTTTTTTATCTTTTCTCCACCCCCCCCCCCCCTCCTCTTTCATCTCTGACACCTAAAATGAACTCAAGTATTTCTGCTGGTCACCACGTCTGTTAGCTGATCTCATCCACTAAATTAATTCTGCTCCGAGACACACTGAATAATCAAATCTAGTCTTTGTTCTACAGGAACCTAAGTACAACATGTGTAATGGCAGCCCCCAGGGTGTGTTAGTAACTCGCTGCATATAGTCGGCCATCTTTTCCCCCCATCTCTTCCTTATCAGCACACAGATGCACATTTGTCCATGCATGCTTATTAAAAGATTCTTTATTTTTATTTCTTACCTTTCTTGACCTTAAAGTGCGACTGGATGTTATTTCCTGGGGCAATTTAACAAGGTTTATTTTTGTATGGCTGTTAAAAGTCACAGAGGTTAAGGTTATGTTTGGTTGATGGAAAGCTACAGAAAGAGATGGTCAATCACTCAATTATCAAATGTTTAGATGATTAATTAATTCATATCTAGTGTCTAGTTTGCAGCTTCAGAATTTTGAGCATAAACATCTCTGTGTTGTCTGGTGTTTGAGTGTATCTGAATTATTGTCGAGTTTGTCTTACACACTTTGAAAGCTTTTTATTGCTTTTGAAAATGACCCTTAACAAGGCATGATGCAAAATGATGACAATAATCATCTTAAATCTTTATCTGCAGCTAACTATTTAATAAATGACTATTTTTCTCATGTGTAAGGAGAAGTTACCACAGAGTGATTTCAGACACACTGTATGCATTAAACTGCTTTAATATGATGGAATAAAAGAAACACAATACAGCCCCAAAGAGCTCCTTGATATGCACATTTTTCAATCGCTCTTTATTTTTAAGGTTTTAGTTTTGGGATTTTTATGCCTTTATTGTAGAGATAGGACAGTGGATAGAGTCAGAAATCAGAGAGAGAGAAAGAGAGAGAGAGAGTGGAGAATGACATGTGGAAAAGGAGCCAGAGGGTGGATTCCAACCCCGTCCCTAAGAGGACTACAGTCTCCGTACATGGGGTGCACACACTAACCACTACGCTACCGTACCGGGCCCATTCATTCAGTATTCCTTTACATTTCTATTTTATCTCATAAAAACTGTTAGATAAACAACAAAAGAGTTTTCAGGACATGAAGCTCGGGGATGGACATGTGACATTGTGTTTTCTGTTATCTGTTGGTTTATTAGTTATTGACCAGTAACAGAGATTAGAACAGCTGAATAAACACAAGTCATACCAACCTGATGGATATGAGCCTTACATAGGCTTGTCACGGTTTCTTTGGGGTTGTCCATTTGATTGAACTTGTGTTGAGGAAACCTAGTCAGGATATATTTACTATTGTTAAAATAGTGCTTTATATATTCCATGTAAGCGAGTGCCAAGCAGGTTTGCTGTGAAATGTTGCATCCTGCAATATGTGTGCAGAAGGTGTTTGTATGTTTGTGCAGCAGATGGAAAGGGTTGCATAAGACAGACTCTCAGGATAACAGGGGAGGGATGCTTGTTGACACCTCCACGGTTCAGCTCACACACATACACACATTAACAGACATCGTCCCTGCTCTTCCCCAGGACCTGATACGCCGGGACATCCTGTATTATAAGGGACGCATCGACATGGATCGCTACGAGGTGCGGGATGCATTAGACGGCCGTGACGATGACTTCAACGTCAGCGTGAAGAATGCATTCAAGTTGTGCAACAAAGACAGCGAGGAGATCCACATCTTCCTGGCCAAGAAGCCAGAGGAGAAGATTCGCTGGCTCAGGGCCTTCCACGAGGAGAGGAAGATGGTGCAGGAGGACGAGAAAATCGGTTAGTCACGCACCGCCCTCTTTGGAAAGCATTAGTTCCATTCACAATGGCCAATGGAGCTTCAGTTACATGTTGTATCTGTAGCACACTACAAGGTGACTCTTCGTACAGAACATACGCAACATACACACACAACATTTAAATCATATTTATGTGAGTGTAACTTTAGCTTTGATTGGCTGGCTCAAAATCAAATCATATCTTAGGACATTTTTTCCAAGCTGGTCTTTGTCTGCTCTGAGGTTGTCAACATCAGATTTGCACATATTACTAAAATGAAGAGAACGTATTATTGGATAGTCAATTCAGGTTTTTTTGGAAGGATGTCCAGGCGTATTGTGTTGGGATGTTAAAAGACAAAATGTTCTGTTTATACAGGGAAAAACTGAATATTTATTGATGTAAACAGTTCTAATTGACATTTATTCTTTACAGCTATGTATAACTTTTTTTCTGTGTGGGTCCTTGGGAGGCTCAGCTTGTCTCGAAGGAAAAAAGGAAAGGAAAAAGGCTTGAAACCACTGTCCTAGGAGACATTGCATTACTGGTAGTTTAAGAAGGTTTTTTACTTTAATGTTAAAATATAACAATTCTTAAAAGCTGTTTTCAAGTCAAGAAGATCCTTTGTAACGTGCTTTACAGCCCTCGTGTGGAGATTCAGCGATCCCTACTCCTATATATTAGTCTTTGCCTTTATGAAGTATATGTACATATTCTTAACAGCTGTGTACTAGGAACCCTGTATATACTTGTTATTGCTATCACTGTCATGTCATAGCTGGGCTAACACCTACAGGCTCGTGACTGCTGAATAATGTTTGAGAAACTCTTGTTTTTCTTTTTTTATTTACATGAAATTGCTTAATTCTGTTTTTCCCAGTTCTGTGCTCTAAATTTAAATGATTACAGTGTGAGATAGTGTAACACACATTTTCACTCACTTTTACTACAGTTACAGTCTACGCTTACACTTTTTTTGGTCTTCCTGACATGATCATTTTACAGGAAATCATTTCTTCTTTGCCACTTGAAAAACAGATTTCACCAGTGGCAGCCATTGTCAGTACAGCCAATAAGAGCTGTAACAAATCAATTCTCTGGGGGTAATAAATAACGGTGTTGGATCGATGCATTGACTGGCTCACTGGCAGAGACTGCAGTTAAAGTGGTATAAAAGTCTCTTTAACATTGGCTGCATTAAAGGCAGAATGTGCGACATTTAAATACAGAAGAAATCCAGTTTATCCTCTGAGAATATCTCAGAGTCATGATGACTGTGTACAACGAGTGAGACACATGAATCGCTCGCCGACTGTGTTGGCACTTGGAGGGGAGAGGGGTTTGAGGTGTGTCGCTGTAGGAGAGCGGAGGATTCAATATGGAGGAGGTGTCACCAAACTGCAGTTTGTTTTGGTTTCATGCTGGTGCTCAAGGGCGACATCTACTGGATCAAAAAGTCTCACATTCTGAGGAACAGGTGAAGTGCGGTTGGTAATACTTACAATATTGTTTGTCGTTCAGGTTTTGAGATCTCTGAGTACCAGAAGCGACAGGCAGCCATGACAGTGAGAAAGGTGACCAAACAGAAAGGTGAGGCAACAAGAAGATATCAGGTGATTTTCCTTTTCTTTTCCTCGCTGGTGTGCTCTGTCTTCTCATCGCTGTTTACTCTTCCTTTAACCTGCTCTCTTTGTTTTTGTTTACTTTCTGCGCCGTTTCTAAAACATGCTTCTTTGTTTACTAATGAACCTAGACTACCTGTGTACTACTTAACAAGCTAGAAAAGCCAAGTGGAATTACGCTGTCACGCTTTAGAACTCACACTATTTGGACTTTGAGCTAATTGTCTGTTAGTCCGCACATGAGGTCGACTTGATATGAGTTTTAAGGCAGCTGTTAAGCATCAATGAAAAGACAGAGGGCTGTTTGCATGAAGTATTGAGTTTAAAGGGAGATACCAGTGTTCTTGACATGCGGGTCCTGTGTCACGCTCGTCTTGGAAAAATATATTACCTCAGACACCTGTTTGCATTTATGTCTTTTGCTGAGTTAGAGTGGTTGTTGGTTGTAAATACTCACTCTTACATCCTGACCATTAGAAACAGAAACATATATTTTTGTCACGACGGATCAAGCAGCCTTTACCTTTTTTTTCATCCAGCCAATTATAACACCATGATGCCCTGAAGTCAGGAGAAACATCAAACTAAAAACAAGACTTATTTTGTGATGTAATAAGCTCAAGATATGACAAAATAACTCAACAGCTTGCAACTATCTCAGTAACAGAACAACATGTCAAACAGGTTGTTTAAGACGCTCTTTCCTGACTCAGCATTCGTCAGAGGACCCACATGTCCAAAGTGCTGGGATCGTCCTTTAAGATTTAGTTGTTTTAGTGTGAGGCTAGATGTTTGTACATTTACCATTACTACATTTAACTGATGTTCTTGCTCTTGCCAGTTTCACTATAAGCATGACCATCCATTGAAGTATGAATTAACCAATGTCCACTGCTGGAATGTTCTCTCTGACGTTAGGTTCCCCTGTAGATGTCTGTCACAAGTACATGTTGTGTGTTTCTAAGTGCTGTATGTGTACATGGCTGGCACAAGGTGAAGTACTCTCTTGAATTTCAGATTCATTTATAGATTTCATCTTGAGAAAGAGGGCCATGTTGTATGGACATGGTTTGAAAATGATAAAGGTATATGCATTAGAGTTCTCCTTAGAGCTAGCAACAATAAGATGCCATGGCAACTGCTAAGCAGCATTGGGAGGTGTTGTGATTCCCATTGGAGCATGCAGTCACTGTCCAATCTGTTTACAAGCATTATCTTGACAATCCAAGATAAACAGGTCCCAGTAACACAAAGAGATCGAACCCTTCTGCCCAAACAGTGTGAGGCAAAATACCCCCCAACAAAAGACACTGTTTCCCACCTTTTACATTCTTCTCTAAGATGCCATGGCAACTTTTGAATATTTCATCTCCAAATATTGATTCTTATCTAATTTTGTAACTGCACTAGCTTAGTTGTGATGCTTGTAGACCGTAGCTTAATGACATTGTAGGCTGTAGTTTCAACGCATATTAACAGCTTTTCGTTGGCTCTATTTTTGCCACTCTTGTGTTCTCAAGTGTTGAGGGTGCTATCCAAACAAATGTGCTGTCGACAAACATGGAAGAACAATGTCTCTTGTCCAAATGCCTGGTTTCATCATCGTATCAGATACAATCTGTCCGTTCACTTGTTTGCCTGCCACAGAGTTTGATTGAATAGCACCTGAAGTCTCCCTTGTGTCATTGCTAGAGCTGAATTTGACTTTCCTCTGGATTCAGCCGTCATCATATGATCACACTGTATCATATCTCAGGTTTAATATGCAGAATGTTAACAGTGAAGGCTCATTTTGTACGTCTTTGTGCCTGTTTTCTTTGGATGCATGACTTGATGTTGTGTTGTTGTGTCCGGTTCTGATCCATTACTGACAATGTTTCCTATTTGCTATCCACCTCCCTTTCTTTTTTCTCTTTTGCTTTGCGCCCCCGAAACGCCTCCTTGTCCCCCTCCTTCCCCCCACCCCCCTCCACATCTTGCTCTTTTTGCACCTGCCTTCCTAGGTGTAAACAGGTGCACGCCCCCCTCATACCCGCCCCCCCAGGACCCCCTAAGTGCGGGGCATTATGAGGTAACGGAGGACATGGCACAAGGAGAGGTTTTTGAATTCAGTCAATCCAAAAGAGGCCAGGCTCCTTTCTGGCAGAATTTTAGTAGATTAGCTCCATTTAAGAAATAGAGATTCACAGACTCTTCCGAAGGACCAGCTATTTTTCTTAGAAGCACTAAACACTGGATGATCAAGTCCCTTGATGAAGGAAATTATGACAAACACACATACACACGAGACTTCAAAAGGACCAATCTTAATACAAGAGTGTGATTGGAAGCAGCAAGAGGACTGAGGACTTGAGAAGTTGCGGGAAAAAAAAGAAACTTTACAATTCATATATATGTTAGTAACATTCTAAGTTATCATGCTTCTCCAGCTGAGTCGACTGTCATGAACTCTTTCCCTCGGATTCTACATATTCACATCATCTGAATGTCCTGGAGTTACTGAGATTGTTATATTGTTTCATTTTGAATTATCCGGAAAGAAACACAAGGCCAAGCCAGGGCATTCCTAGTAGTATGATTGTTTGCCAAAATGCTGGGATCTTGCTGCGCTGCTGCTATGTTGAGATTGCTCGCTGCATTCTTCTGAATGTGAGATCAAATAATGACGGGGGGCCTCGGCTACCAGCTGCGGCGTCTGAAGGACCTGCGAAGCTCGACTGTCAGCATCTTCTCTGAGTTAGATCCATTCTGCCAACGATCACACACTGCTCAGGCAATCTCCGCTTCACTGATGTCTGTGTCTGGATCTCACTCTCTCAAAAGCTTCACACTCCTCTCTCTAGCTGTTTGCATATAGTAGCCCTCTCTTCACCAAGTGTGACGTTCACAGAGTTTCCCTCTCACTCTGCATCCCTCTCTCTCTCTCTCTCTCTCTCTCTCTCTCTCTCTACCTTCCTGCTCAGTGTCTATGAGTCAGTGGCTTACAGAGGCAGAGCTTCATTCTTTTGGAAACCTGCCATTGGCCATGATATGATGGGTCAGGGAACAAATCAATAGTTGAAACATCAATAGAATATTTACATCCTTTCACCAACCACTTTTGACAGGGTATTCATAACCTATCACACCGTGAGGGGGGGTTGAGTTTTACGGAGAGATCGCCGCTCAGATGAAACAGCTGGGAGCAGGAGATAGGCAGGCTGCGGCCCACCTGCCTTGTATCAGAGCCCCCCTCCCCCCACGCCCCCACTCTCCCCAGAGACCACCCCTGTAGCACTGTGCTGGCAGCTCACTGGGTGTTTGGAAAGAGCACAGCCTACCTCCAGAAAGAGCTCAAAGTGAAGCTGATGAATTGGCCAAGGTGTAAAATAATTTCTCTTTCTCATGTCGGCTGTACAAAAAAAAAACAGACTTCCTCAGCTGACTTAATTCTTTCATATTGCTCACACTGTAAAAAAGCACAGCACATAATATGCAGTCTATGGCGTACTTTACTTGCACTTGGTTCGCAGCAAGCCAAAACACGCAATGTCACCGATGAGAAATGAGAAAGGAAGCGTAAACCAGCACCATCTGAAAGAAAGAAAGACCCCTGCAGAAGTGTGAGCCAATAACCACAGGGAGGCAGAAAGGTGAATTTAATCTGTAGCATGCAGGTGTCCTCTCTGACAGATTCATGCGTCTCTGATGACCGCAGTTTCAAATCTTGGCACTCCAACCCGTCACGTCGTTTTCCAGATCTGATCTAATGTTCTGGCGGTTAGCTCGGCACTGTTAAACGATTCACAGAGGACTAAGGCCTGGTCGGATTGATTTGTTCAATCAAAACTGTCCCCCAAAAAAACTGCTGTGAGCGAGATCCTGTGCTACTACAAGAGAGGGGTTAGAAAAAAGAAGATCTACTGATTTAAAATCCCATCATGAAGGTGTGTTTTTATTATTTTATTTCTACTGTTGGCATGTAAGTGACACATCTCTCTATGCTTTGTGATCATATTTTGACCTCAGATACAGATGAATACATTTTGTGTTTCTATCACCTGATGGACCGTGCATATACAGTTTGACAACTTGTGCAATGTGAAATATTATGATCTTCACTACTCACTCCAATGTGATATGAAAGAGTTATTATATTGTTCTGTGTCATTCGTTTGCCTTCTTAAAGGCCTTATAACCTATTGGGAAACAAAAAAGACCTTTCGACTTGCTTTGTATGTCGTGTAATTTATGTTTGGTTTCAGTAAAGGAAGTTGAGAAACGGGCGAGCTGGTTTGCTGGTGTCTGTAGAGATGGCTCCCAGTCAAATTTGTTTTGTTTTTTTGGAAGATCACTCCCCGGTCTGGCACAGAAAAAAAGAAATGGTTCCCAGGCCAAGATAACCTCAGGTCCCGTGCTAAACCCACCACCACTCCCAAACCCCCCCGCCCCCCTCTCTCCATTCCCCTATTCAACACCACCACCAGTTTCAACACACAGACGCAAGCATGCAGGCAAACACACACACACATAATCATACGCACTTGCTGGCCCGTTCTGCTGCGTAGAAGAGAGATGCTATCTAACAGTGCCTTCCAGCATTCCACTAGTGATTATCTATTCAGTTTCACAGGCAGATTTGAATTAGTCATGTATTTTCCCTTCATCGTGGGACTCGCATCTCTCTCTTTCTCTCCCTCTCTCTCTCGCTCTCTCTGTCTCTCTCATACACACTGGGAATTCCTCATTCCCCAGTGCATGAGATCCACTCGGACAGAAACTCAAGAGGTCAGGCCTTTTTCCATACGAGTAGACACTGTGCTGTCTGACTGACTTTCAAACACCTTGTTATTCTATTATATTCTATCACATTTAAAATAGCAGTCATTTTAATTGCACACAGAAACAAAGAAGTGAATTCTGATTTTAAACGTTCAGAGACTTACGTAGATTTACTTTACTATCTATTTAACATGCTGAAAGTTTAATTTGAGTATTAAAGTAGAAAAACAGCTTTTCATTAGCAAAGTTAGGTTTCACATTTCAAAGTATACTAATAACCGTGAGTTACGGATCAAAAGAAGACTCATCTATTTTAACCTTTCTCAGATACACACTGTAAATAATGTACAAAGGACAGATCATATATTTGGATATTGGTATTTTGCGTTGGGAGACGAATGTTGTTCCAGTTCTAGCGTGCGGTAGACCTCAGTACCAGGTAAATGCATGCTTGTGGCATCCAATATTTTGCATGAGACTTAAGACAACTCTTAACAAGATTGTTTAGTTTCATTTTTATCTCCAATGGGGATTCTTTCGTCCCCACAACACACACACACAACCATCGCTTTGTGAACCCATGCCATCTTCACGTAAGGGGAGTTCTTTTTTCTCTGTCCACCTGTCTCCTGCTCACTGCTCATCATCACAGGTTGTAGCTTCTGTTTTTTATTTATTGTCGAGTAACGAGGGGGGGGGAGGACGTCTTCCCCCTCATGCTGTATCAAAGACTGAACTGTTGAGGTGAAATGAAAGGCACTGATGCTCTCTTTTTGCCCACATATAATGGGTTTATCTTTATTCAAATCTTTTCTTTTCTTTAAACTCTAACTTATGCTGTTCTGGTCAAAACTGCTGGTTGTTATTTTAGAAAAAAAAACATGAACCGCTGAGGCGAAACGGGTATAATTTTTCTATGACAACGGTGAACCAAATAGGAGTGAGCACTGATCATGGGTGTTCGTGTATAGATTTGTAGTCGAGCTGAAGAGCTGAATAAATGCAGAACCTCTCGGGAGGAGCTAAAAATAAACATAATCCTGCAGACACACACACACACACACACACAGTACTTCATTTTAATTCATATCATGCTCTTGTTTCTACTTAAAAAATGATTCTTTGAAGTACAATGACGTGACAGTAGAAATGACTTCCTCACTTGTATTTATTAAAAGCAGTATTAAGTAGTTTCCTTTTGCCACATTTGTTAAGAGGTTGTAAATATTGCGTTTATCTTCTATAATTATCTTTCCGACCTTGTCCTGAGAGCTGAGGGGACAGCATTTTTTCTCTCCCTCTCTCTCTCTATCGCTCTCTCTCCAAGTCATAAAACCAAGACAGCCAAGTTAGCAGAGCGTCACTCGGATGCATCAGAGGTTGCTCAGATTTACGTAACTCCTCCGAAGCACAGGGAGTACATGAGCCGCCCCGCGCTCGCTCACATTTAGCATCGCAGCATCTTTAGTAGGAACTCCTCGCGGTTGGTTATGCAGTCATGTGTGGTTGCAGAAAAGTCAGGGTACAACAGAGTCTTCAACGAGCCATATACTGATGTGGTGTTCAATGACAACATGGTTACCAGAAGACTGACATCCCAATTCTTTGGAATCTATTCATTGTATATTACCATCTAGTTTGAGGTTTGGATTTTTGCCTAGCACTGAAGAATTTACTCACAGTATTCATATCCTTTGTCACCATATGCAAAAACGTGTCATTTTCTTTCTTGCTGGCCTTTGAGTTTTGATTATTTGTTGTAGAAATTAAAAACCTGAAAAATAATGCCTATTCAATCCAGAAACTGTGAATGGGAGAGTGGAGATGTCAACTGTATGTACATTATATGTTTTGATGTAATCAGAAGCACTGGGAATATGTTGTACTTTGCTGTAAAAAAAATAAATCCATATCTGATATAGCTGTACTTTTGTTCAAAAATAAATCCTCTACAGAACTGTGGGCCGAGGCGTCGATGTGTGAGCCGGAGCATTGTGCTGGGTCCTGTCGTGTGACATCACTTCCTGTTTGTATGTCCCATTCCTGACAGTTGACGCATTGGATGTGCTTTGGAGGGAGGATTAGGGGCATACAAAAGAAAAACAGTCACATAAACAATTTTCAACCAACTTCCAGCTGCCTGCAAAAAAAACTAAAAACCAAGACTGTTATCAATAAGTAATGAGACTTATGCAGTTCTTTACTCCCAGTTGGCTGTGCTGAAAGTGTAGCCGGGTAACTCTGCTTGCTTATGCTCTTAAAGTTCACAGATGTAAGCCTGTTTTTCAGCTAAGATCTAAGAAAGTGGGGTGCAAAGCACACGCTGTCTGTGTCTGTGTGTATGTTTCCCCTGATGTGTCTGGATGTCTAAAAAAAAAAAAAAAAACAGTGTGAACACATTTGATTGTGTAATGTTACCTATGACAAAGAGGGAGGTAGAGGTGATGCAAGAGGCATTAACAGATGCTCAGAATTTGAAATAACAAGCCCCAGTTTGGAGAAGGTGTTATAAGCTGTGTTACTGTGGTCTCTAGTGGTCATACCCGGTGTTACACTTCCCAAGGACACGGCACATTTTCTTCTAACATGGAGCCCTTCAGAACAACCATCAGAATTAAAACACAGCATTGAGCTCAAATATTTCAACCTCCAATAATAAATACATAATTTCAAGTCACAAAATGTCAACCTTTGTGAATAAATATTAAAACAAGAATTTACAGCTCTGGCAGGGTAAGTGACCTCTAAAGGAGCCAGAGAAAGTTATCTCGTCCTACTCTTTGGTGTACAGATAAGTAGAAAAAAAACAAAACAAAAAAAAACAGGCTGGCCATATTTTCTGATGCTAGCTTGAGCATCATATGAGTTCAGAGGTGTCATGCTTCAGGTAGTTCCTCAGGATAACAGGAATATCCAGACTGTCAATGGCGGGCTCCTTTTTGGCAAAGGGGAGGTGTCTTCGTATTGCTTGCCGAGTCTGCGACATCAGTGTTTTGGGACAAACTGGAGCAGAAACAGAAAGATGTCAAATTAATAATCATGAGAATTTTTTGGGGGGGCTTTTAATTGAGAGATAAGACAGTGGATAGAATCGGAAATCAGGGAGAGAGAGTGGGGAGTGAAGTGCAGGAAAGGAGCCACAGGGTGGATTCGAACCAGGACCGCCCGCCCGGAAGACCACAACCTCCATACATGGGGCGCTCGCACCAACCACTGCGCCACCAGCGCCCCAATCAGGAGAATTTCTAGTCAGTGTTATGCAAATCAAACCAGCTAAGGCGTCTCACCTCTCTCTTTGAGCAGCAGTGCCAAAGCTTCATTCTGCTTCGTAGTCTTGTCAATGATCAGTGTGGGCAGATACACATCTGCCCCAAAGTCTATGAGAAGCTGGATGTACTCCACGCCGCACCCATACCGCAGACACACTTCCAGAACTGTCTTTGGCTGCTTAATCCTGGCCAGCATCTTCTCGTCTGTGCAGTTGTAGTTGGGGTTGGCCCCATGGAGCAGGAGCAGCTTAAAACAGCCCAGGTGTCCATACACAGCGGAGATATAAAGAGGCCCTCTGCAGGCTGTGGCATTAGAGGCCCACTCGGGGACTTTAGGTCTGACGTCCAGCTCGGCTCCAAAGCGCAGCAGCTCTCGGAGGATGTCCAGGTCTCCCTCACGGGTCGCTGTCAGCACCGGGGAGCAGTTGTTGTACTGGCTGCCATTGGGATCGGCTCCGGCCTTCAGCAGGGCGACCACACAGTCTAAATGTTTCCCACTGACAGCTGTGAACAAAGGAGTCTGGGCCTTCACATCCAAGCTGTCAATCTGGATAGACCACAACAGAACGTCAACACAATGGAACAGAAAGAACACATCCCTGAGAAAGTTGTGTGTTTGATGATACAAAGACTTAAGGGATTCCCTTAGGAGCGCACTATTTATTCCAGAAGCTGAAGTAAGACATTTCAATGCTGTAAACCACAAATGTATTTTCATATCTACAGTTGGATTACAGAACATAACAGATTTAATTACCCAGAAATACTAAATGCTCCAATACTTCCCATGATTATTATTATCAGTTTGCACATGCCTTTTGGTACTTCTCAGATAAAAGTTTACCTTCGGTTTATTAGAGCAACTCAATGAGGACAGCCGAGTGTTGAGGATATGAGAATGAAAACATAGTACTGAAGTCAAATGCACAATAAAGTGGTCATGATTTGGTTATAAGTCATTTTATCCATTCCTTGTTAAAGAGTATTGATCAGAGCAGCTTTAATACTGTTAAATAGTGAAAATAAGAAATACTATCTTATATTATATTACCCATTTATTATGCAATACATGACATACTGTGTCATAAACAAATATTGATATTGATATAGTGATAAATAAAGATGGTTACTATGAATCTACCAATCCATCATTCAGAAGGTCTTACTGACATTTTTAGATTTTGGGTATATAAAGTATTACCTCCAGCTAGAAATAAAAGTCTTCCTTTTGGTACCCAACATTTTTAGTAATTAAGAGAAGGGCATTATAATTCAAGAGTGTCATGTTTATAAAGCAATATACAGATGTGTTTCAGTTTTAGAGGTTAAACGATGGAAGAGTTTTAGTGATGAGCTGAAATTGTGGAGTTTTAAATAAAAACTAAAAATGTCAACTAGTGATGATAATTATTAAAAATTAAGGATTATTTTGGATAAAATCTGCTCTTGTTATTTTCTTTTTTGGATTGCAGATGTTTTGGATTATAAGGATTGTAGGACAGGCAGATATCAGGGTTTGGCTTCAGGCTTTTCTTTTCATTTATTGTCCTTGTTTGTTTGAATGTGATTGTGTGTAATGGACCAGTGTAAACATGTGAAGTGGTGATATTCTGATTCACACATATTTTTTAATCTTTTAGTTCTTTGGTGGAGGACCAAAATAATATTATTCATTAATTTCAAAATATGTCTTCTTATTTGTTCATCTTCATATTTAATAAAATGATCTGCAGAAGGATTTTAAACCTTTTAGATCATTCTCATAAGAATAAGAGGTTAAAAATAAGAGCTTAATAATAAGAGGTTAAGGGTTTTGTGATTAAAGGTGGTCTTTATAGAAGCACTGAGTAGTTTTTATTATAATTAGGGGTTAGAATAATACTGGTTAACAAGGTGGGAACAATGGACTCTTAATTACATGAAATGATTTTAATGTCATTTCAGTCATCGTTTTACCTACTTGAAAATATTTTTTCTTAATTAAGAACTTCTAAGTATCGTTTCTTGAATAAGTGTGAGCATCATGTACATTCTTATCTCCCGTCATCATAGCTCCTGTTAAAGCTCCTGTGAGGAGTATTTAGCTGGTTATGAAACGCAGACTGAAATGAAAACTGATGTCTCTTCATGAAATATTCAAGTAGATTAGACCCTCAGAGACTAGGTTGATTATTTCTATACAACTCACGCCTGTAAACGCTGCTATGGGTATATAATTGTCAGACAAAAGTGAGTTACAGAACTCTGCCAAAACAGCATTTTACACTTTCCACATCAAAGGTTGAAAATAAATAATAAATGTTAGATTGGGTGAGATTTCCCTTCAGAAAACACTGCTTACAGATGTTTCGGACAACATTTATTGAAGAGGTAACATTTTATTTTGTCCACAGGGGGCGCCAAAATCAACAGAAAATGAAAGTCCTTCACAGGAGTTTACAGTCTTTGTTATTAAATGTGCTCTGGACAATTTTGGGTGAAAAAAAAAACTCTGTCTGTTCTCCCCAAAATGCTTTTGGTGATCTCTTTTTCTTCTTCACATGTTCCTTCAGGTAGCCAGTAAGTATCTAAAACATCAAAGAAGGATGTAATGACCTCTTTCTGGTTTAAAAAAATTGGTTGGCTAAGTACAGTATATATTTATGGTTATTAAATAGGAAATTTAAATGACACCCACATGTGTATTTAACAGTGAGCTGTTTATATGATGACTCAGCAGGTTATTTTAATGAAAGCTGCTCAGCGCTTCAGTCAATGATCTCGAAGGTGTCTATATTAAGTGCCTCTTGCATTTTTACCCTGTTGGCTTTTTGGATGTACTTTTGTCTTTTTACTGTCCTGCCTTGCCACAAAACCAATTACCCTTCGGGGTCAAATAAAGTTGACGTCGAGCTGAGGCAGCTTCAGTGCCCCCCCCCGCCCCTCCACACCTCTAAAGATCCATCTCCCCGCCCTTATCTGATTTCTGTACAATAAAAAAACCTCTCTATAGCTCACCTCTGCACCATGCTCCAACAGCAACTCCAAGCACCTCAGGTGTCCCAGAGCTGCAGCAGTGCGCAGGGGGGTTACCGGGACCCCCCACCCGCTCCGAGCATTGATAGACCTCCTGTAACTCTCCTGAGACAGCAGCTCAGAGAGCAGAGTCACGTCGTCGCTGCTCACGGCATTGTTCAAAGCCTGGCACTGTTCATTGTCCTCATCCTCCTCCTTAGGCTGCAGCAGGGAGAAGATCTTGGAAATGTCCATCAAACTCATGTTGACAGCTTGGCCCAGAACCATAATGTTACCCCAGGCTAGTGCAAGTCAAAGCAATTCCATCTGCAAAGGCCAAAAAGAGCAGAGGAAGATGATAATACAGCCAATGCACCGCTGACATCTTCTTGGCATTTAAGGTTCTTTTCACTGGGCATGGTTTCTGTATCCACAGAGCAAACATATTCTGGAATGATACTTATCATGACCACACACAGGACAATTTATGTTTGTTTACATAACTAATGTATGGAACACAAATCCAAACAATACACCCTTTGATGACATACATGGATCCGTCTTTGCTTAACGATAATAAAAAAAGCTCTTCCACTAATGATCCACAGAATTTACTAAACAGAATCAAAGTGAAATGGTCTGAGCCGAAAGCAGCCAACTGGATTTAACTGCAACAAGATACTTACCTCCACTAACTGCTTGCTGATGTTTTATCCAGAGACACGAGAAGAAGAGAACAATTTCAAAAGTCCACAATGAGTCATGAGAAGGAATGAAGGAAAGAGAGGTCCTCCAAGAAGTGTGTGACGCTTCCACAGTGGACTAAAGTGTAGTATGGTTTGTGCATGTAGGTGACTGTGTGTGTGTGTGTGTGTGTTCACAAGCAGAGTGGGCAAAGGCTGGGGGGTAGGGGGGGCTAATTTTAGGCCACAGATGGGCCTGGCTAAACTTCCATTCTTGGAGGGTCCAGGCACAGGTTTATTATTAGAAAGGTGATAGGAGTGTGACACTCAGGCGCTGATTGGTGAATGTGACTGTGTCAGGAATTAAAACAAACAAGAAATGGAGACGTCTGTGTCTCTCTGCCACGTTATAAATCAAGAATTAAAAACACAACAGCCCACATTATAGGGCTGAAGTAGATTGGCTGAAGTTGTCTGTCAGTTTCCTGTTCTGAACCTGCTTCCCTGATTCACACCGAGGCCGCCATTTTAGTGTCAGCTGTGTGACTGTCAGACACTTCAGAGGAGCAGCCAGTCAGCTGTTCCTCTGCCAAACCTACCAATGTCTTTATACTGTCCCATGTTTAGAAGGCATGCCGGCTGCAACACATCACATTCTCTCAGCAGATGGCACATAAAGTCCAGATTCCTGGCATTGTTCAAATACACGAGGAAATTATTCATTTCTTTATTTCAGCAAACAGACATGGACAAGTAAGACAGGTAGAAATATTTTAGATGATAACATCCTGACTGTTTTCAATTCAATGCAATCTACTTTATCAGACCCTCTTGCGGCATCTGGTCTGGAGCAGCCTGTACACAAACAATCCTGAATACAAACACAGTGACGTTCATTATACAAAAGAGCTTAGAAAATAAAAATAGGACCCAAAAAGAATACTAATGTTAAACAACCAGTTAAGGACAAAAAGAATGTGCGGTAGTAAAGGGTTAAAAGGTCAGTGAGTATTTAGTATTCTGATTGCAGAGGGGGATGAACAAGGGAATGGTCCCAAAATAACATCTATGTACTTAAATGCTGTGTGTGCAGTTTTATTATGATAATTATTACATTGTAAAAAAATACAATTTATATATTCCCTGAAATTATGACAATTGACAACAATACATAAAGGCAAACCTCTGTATGAGGTATGGTAAAAAAAGTATGTTATTCTTCTTTTCTCTAGTCCTTCAATTAAACAACTTTTATACACGAGGGGAGGAGTCAGCTGCCGTCCTGGCGATGTAAACAAAGTGAAGATAGGACTCTGAAAACTCTGAAAACATCACAGACAGTGGGACTCGGGTGTTACACCCATTGTAGACAGTCATGACTCACAGAGTTATTTTCAGAGGAGATACTTGATTTCTATTATAATTAAGTGTGAAAAATCACATTTAAAGCCTTTAAGGGAGAAAAAAATGAAGAAGAAACAGCATTTTCTGTAATGACCATTTTAATTAGCTCATTATTGCACATCTTTAATTTGGTATCATGGATTTTTTTTTTGTTAGAATTAAAGTCTTGGGAGGTTAGATACTTGCTTTTCACAGAGCTTCCTCTGTTATCCGTGTGATGTTTAACATAAAATAAAAACAGTAACTTTGAATTACACAAACACGCAAACAAATAATAAGAGGTCCGTGTGCTGCCCTTACCCCCGTTGACCACCAGATGGCGGTAAGCATATGCAGAAAGTGCAACTGTTGAAGACACGAAAAGAACAGGGCGTGTAAACATTTATGTGAAAGGGAAAGCCATTTTTGACAAAGCCATTACTAGGATACTTTTAAATCGTTTTAATTTCACAACAAAAGGGTTTGGCTCTTCGTAGAAGAAGTATTTCTGTTGTCCGGAGCAAACAGCAGCACCTTTCGTCCCCCTCGGAAGAGAAGAGGGGGTCAAATGTGAGAGACAAGTAGAAGCCGGGGACGAGATATCGCCGAGAGGGTAACCTATGGTAACCTCCCTCACCCTGTCTGTACAGCACAGGAGAGAGAGAGCATCCCTCCCTCCGCCTCAGTGTCAGGGCCCCACACAACAAGTAGTTCCCCTTCAAATCGTTTCAATGCTGAGGCTCAAAACTTTGAAGGAAGAGCTGAAGCGGGTCAGCAGGTCCTTCTCATGTGACTCATGAATGCCATGTGGTTGTCTTTATGGAAGAAAATAAATTCTGTATTTCTCCCCTCATACGTTTTTGTAATGTTTGTGGCAGGCGGCGGAGGAGGAGGAGCTCCGTGATCCGGTTGTCTGTAGCGTGTGTGAGCAGGAACAGGCTTCTCTGGCCTTGACAAGTTTTATCAGAAGGAAGAAGACACAACTGAGCAACAAGCCTGTCGTTGACAACTCGTATAGAAACAGTCCCCCCCCCCCTCCCCCCCGCTGATGAAAAAGACTATTTACAGGAATGTGCATGATGGGGGGAGTTCGTGCAACAATCTCACAAAGCCCTTCGATGCCCCTCACTGGATTTGGGAGGAACTAGTTGGTGTAGATATGCAGGTCACAGCAACCTGGGGTTACCGTAGCAACGACTACGGAACGTGGAGTTGCCCTGGCAACAGATGAAATGAGGGGTTACCCTGACAAAAAACGCTACAAAAAAGGAACTCATTTAGCAAGCCCTCGCTGTCCTTTTTCAGACAGAGAGCTGCAGACATGACAGGCACAGTATTAACACAATGAAAGGGAAACTGTTGTGGGGAAGTCGAACATATTCCTACTTCTTTATTTAGAAAAACAGGCTCATCCCATCCATTTAGACAATAAACAATAATCCATACACCGATGTCATCACTTCCTCTGAGTCCTCTGTGTTTATGTTCACACTGCTGAAAAACACAAATGTTTTTCTGTTTTGTTTTGAATGTAAAAAGGAGATAACAACAAGGTTATAACAAAACAGCCATTTATTTCCCTAACACTGTATTAAAGTGAACACAGAACAACACCATTCAGAGCAGATGAGCGGGGCTTTTTCTTTCCAGTTTGTGGAAACGTGAATACTGTAAACATTAAAACAACATTGTTTTTTATTTGACTTTTCAAATAAACCTGTTTAATTTTAATATTGGCACAAAAATACACAACAAACAGCCATAGAAACACGCATGCATTGCATAAAAATATACACAGTACAGTACAATATCCAAGGGAATGAACAAAAGCATCATGGGTAAAAATGACTGGACATTTTCATCCATGTCCTTTTTGCACTATTGCAGTTACATGGTTAGAGGCTAGTTAGCTACTACAGGCGTCATACAATGACAAACACATCCAAAGCATTGATAAAAACAACAGAACGAACAATAACAGACACTTGATCAGCTCGACAGTTTATGCAAAAAGGTACCAAGACAGTTTGTTAAAGTGGGGACTAATTGTGGAAATGATCCTGAAGCAATTCTCTGTTACTTCAGCCATATCTAGAGATGTACATGGCTGATCTTAGATCAGTGTATCTGACCAGGTCCCTTTAAGTCAAACAGAGGCAGAGGGAAGAGGGCGATCTACTCATCTGGCTTCCTCTTGGGCTTCTTTGGGTTGCGGGAGCGGCTCTTGGCCTTGCACAACGGGCAGATGGGAGCATTACGATGAATCTGCTGGTGGCAGGAGAGGCAAGCCTGGAGAGGAGAGACATTCAGCAATCATCACTATTTCTATGTTCTCGCAATGTTGACATCAGCAGGCGGCTTCATCAGGTTGTTCACCTGAGTGTAGGAAGCTATTTTATTATTTACTGAACTTTGGGTTGATGTCAGAAGTCAGAAGAATAGTTCTGTGTGAGTGTAAGAATATAGACAGTATTCCTCATCCAGGTGAAAACTGGATTCTTAGACGCAGAGCAGCAGCCACCATGGAGGAGTCTGATGTTAAACTGATTACCAGAGAAGATGCTCCCCCTTTTTTAAGACTTATTTATGGTACCTTTATTGTAGAGACATGACACTGGATAGAGTTGGAAATCAGGGAAAGAGAGTGGGGAATGACATGCAGAAAGGGAGCCACAGATCGGGTTTGAACCCGGGCCGTCCACTTGGTCGTCAACTTGACTATAGCCTCCATACATGGTGCGCACGTATTAACCACTGCGCCACCAGCGCCCCGCCCTCACCACTTTGTGATTGTGAAAAGTGTTACATTTTGCTAGATAATATAACGAAGAGTAAGGTCCTGCTCTGTTTGTGAAGTGTCTCGAGGTAACATTTGTTATGAATTGGCGCTATGCAAATAAAGATTGATTGATTAATAGCGATTGGGTTGGATATGTTCTCCGTTTATACTCATCGTATATCTATTTAACGTGTAGGTATCAGCTGGAGGCTGCATGTAACATCAGTCAGAAAGTAAACGGCAGTAATGTTAGAGCCTGTTAAACGCTGCAGCTGGAAGCTTAGCAAAACAAAATCTGTTACAGAGCTCCAAAAGCTGAAGCTACAGTTCCTAAAGGACGCTTCCCGTTTGTTAGGTCTGAGTCACACGCACTGCATGTACAGCCAGCGCAGACACACACACTTAATAAACAGGGTGTATGTGTAACATGTTCTAAACTTTCAAAGCTCATATGAGAAAAGAAAAAG